GGAAAGAAGGAAAACAAAACAATACATGCTGGGTGATTTCATGCGAATAGTATCAAACCCATGCAAGACAAAATGTATGTACTGTCAAAAGTTAAAGTAGTGATTACATGTGGAGGTTAATGATGGAAGAAGGTTCAAAGGGTTTCTGCAGTGCTACCAATATTCTGATATTTGACCCGGGGAGTGGTAATAATTCATTGTACCATATACCATTTTTTGTGTCCTTTGAATGTTTATTATACTATACGAAAAAGACTTTTAAAGTTGTACGTACTAGGGGTTATGTCCTTGTCTAGGAAGTTTAAGAATAATGCACTGAAGGAGCATCTTAACTGAGAGTTGATGAAGCTACTGTTGTTAGGTGACATTTATATGAGCTGTCCCCATAATCTCATCTCCTAATAGTCTCCCCTACCTATTGTAGCCACACCTGTCCTCTTGCTGTTCATCATATGCCAGGCATCCTTCTACCTTAGGGCTTGGCACTGGTTATTTTCTCTGCCTGAAGTGCTCTTCCTCCAGATACGGGTATGCATAATCCCTTCATCTTTTTAACTTCTTGCTCAAATATTTTCTCATTAAACATATCTAACTTGACTACCCTATCTAGAAATGTGTTCCACCCACCCAATCCAGCACAATTTCATTCCCCTTTACCCTATCTCCCCCTCCAGTCATTCATGTCTTCTACAACACTATGTATTATATAATATACTCAATTCTTATATTTAATGTCTATCCATTTAATGTCTAATATTTAATGTCTAATGTCTACATTAGACTTGATGCTCTATGTGAACAAGATTTTTCTCTTTTTTGTTCATTGATGTATGACATACATACCTGGCATATAGTAAATAGTATATGTACATTCAATGTATATGTATATATTAATATATATGTATATATATTAATCAAGTCTTCCTATGTTCTGGGTTCTATACTATGTTTAAGATAGTCTTTCTCTAGCACTTAGCCCAAGTAGCTACCTGGCTACTTTATATCACCGCATTTTTGGTTCTCTGCCAACTTTCACAATCTGATATTTTTGGATTGTTAGTTTATTAATAAATTTTCTGTCTCCTAATACTGGAATTAAAGTTCAAGATCATAGGGAAAGTTGTCTATCTTTTAACCATTGTATCCCCAGAGCTTAGAAGATAGCTGGCATTATATAAACCTTCTAAAATTTAGAAGGTTTCTTAAGTTAAAATGCATCTACGCTGTCCAAATTTTGCCTTAATATCAGTGAATATTTTAGCATTTGCTTATGAGAGGTCACAATTAACATGAAATATATTTACTTCTTTTACCTAAATGGACTAGATTTAAGTAACTATCACTTCATGTAGGATTCTATTGTCATAGATAATTAGAATTAGTATTAGATTAACTATAAGAAAACAAGGTAAATTTTTTTTAAACAAGAGTAGAAGTGTGATGTCCCAAACTATACAAGTGAGGAAAAAATATAATACAGCTTTAAACTACACACATAAAATTATATTCTGCAATAATGACACTAATAAATGGTAGCAGCTACCATTTATTGAGCACCCACGATTTAGTCTGTTTTGTGTACAGTAAGTCAGTCTTCCTAGCAACCTAAGAAATCAGTATTATTTTC